CACCTTCTCTTTAAGACTAGAAATTTCAGATTTTGCTTCATGTAACAACTCATTGCTTCCTTCCAACTGTTTCGTTACTGATTCCAAAGACACTGATGTAGATCTCTCCAACTTATTTGCTTCTTCAACCTTCACTTCTAGCTCCTCGACCTTTTTCGTCCACTCCTCTAGCAGATTGTGTGCATAAGATTCAGCCATCCTGGCAGCTTCAAGCTCCACATTAAGATGTTCAATGTGATTTTCTTTCTCCGTCAACTTCACATCATAATCCTTTGCCTTTTCAAGTTCTTCATTTAGAGCATCAATCTCTGTTTGCAGCTCAGATACAATCTTGTTTTCCCTAGCCTCGGTTTCCAGCTTCGAATCTAGTAAGGCCTTCAAATGCATCAGTTCAGCTGAAAGAATCTCGGCTTTCTCCACATGAAGCTCCGCAATTTTAGTTGCATCGTCAGCATGACTCAGTGCCTGGTTCTTTGCATCACAAGTCATGGCAAGTTCTTGCTTAATCCGCTGAAGCTCCTGAGTAGTGGAGAGAAGAGAAGCCACATCCAAAGCATGCTGGTTCCTCACACTTTCCAGCTCTTTCTGCCACTCCACTTCCTTCGTCTGAACAGCTTCAATTCCAGCCTGTTCCAACTCAACGGCTCGGAACTTCTCAATCTCGGAATCCTCCTCGGCCCGCTTCTGAGCCACCATTGCCTCCATGAGTTTCTCATTTGCTTCCTCAGCCACTCTCTGCGCTTCTTTCAGCTCATCAATCGCTTTTGCCTTCTCTTTTTCAGCCTGAATCAGCTGTTCTTTTGCTTTCTTTAGATCTTCTTGAGCAAGATTTAACTGCGTCTGCAATTCTGAACCCTTCGCAACTCTTGGAAGTTGTTTCTGGAATTCAAGGAACATAATAAGCATGTATAAGGAGACAGATAACCAAAGAAAAAGTATGACTACACAGATTTTCCTTTTGTGCCATACCAAACTATCAATATTCACATACCACTTACAGTACATCTTATAAATGGATAAAAAGTCGTGGATAACATAAACTTTCAAATTCCCAGAAAAAAAAATGTCAAATAACTAACAAATGGTAACACATTTAACTTTTACTTATTTTATATACACTTGTTAACAGACTTGAGACTTTAGAAAATTCAAAATTTTCACAGAAAAACAGAACTGGAAAAGCAAGCAGTCCAACTTTCCCAGAGTTTCCATTTAGTAATAAAGCCAGATATGACTAATCAATCTCAGATAAGAGGTGATACAAAGTACATTTACTGTAACTTACATCAGGTGTGGTGGATGCAGGTCTTGGTGATTTGCGCTCGGTGACAGGCTTTGAATTCGAAGCTCGTGGCGACGATTTTTCTGCAGAGAGGCGCAAATTTTGCAGAGGTGATGGCGATTCTGACTCCGATTTGGACACTCCTTTGCTGAGTCTACTAACTCTTGGAGTTGCAGGTGACGTTTTGTTGGGAGTTGATGGCCGTGCCTTGTTGGGAGTGGCCGGAGTTGCTTTGTTGGAGGTTTCCGATAAACCGGATCTATCAGATTCACAATGTCAGCTTCATAGTGATGCATCAATGAAATGAAAAGACATGACACTAAAATGTAACAAAATGCCATATTTGCCTCCAATCAGACAGATGGATCTAAGCCTTAAAAACCAAATTTTAGTACCAAACTCAGCATCTAAACGCATCGTCAAGCCAAACTCATCAACCGAGAAACAACCACCACCGATAGAAAAAGGAGATACTAAGTCAGTAACTGCCACCCAGAAGCAAGAATTAGGGCAAGAAACACACACGGAGATGCAATCACAAATGAAAAACACAATCCAGCAAGAACAGTAGAAGATCAAGACTCAACAAAAACCAAAAATGGAATAAGGAAGGCCCATCTTAAAATTTCATGCACGCTCCCAAACAATAACCAAAAACATCGAAATTTACACAGATGAAGAAAAGGGGCGTTCAAATGTCTTCAAATAGCAGATCAAAACCATCAACTACAAAACCACACAGAACAGAAGCGAATTCGCGAAAGCCGTACACGGAAGAAAGTAGAAGAAACCCACACCAGATCTTAAAGCAATGGAGAAACCCACAACACAAAGCACCGAACTTGACATACCTGGATTTTGAAGCCATGTTGGTAAGAAGCGACGACGAAGTAACACCAAAACGTGAGAAGGTGTTGCCTTTGCTGAAAGTGTCAGTTGCAGAACCGATAATGCTGAAGTTCCAACATTGTCAGAAAGAAGAAACCGAACAAATTCAGGATCAGGGTAAGATTAAAAAAAAATCCAAAATTTTTCTTGTCTTTTCTTTCTTTGGCTTTCGGGAAATTACGTGAAAGAGAAGAAGACTGTGAAGAGGAATTTACAGAACACAAACATAAACCAAAGCCAAATAAGTTCGTCTGGTTTTCCTGTTTCCAAAGTAGCCACACCAACACACTATACTACACTATGATATGATATTCTCTCTCTTCAACCTTCTCTCATTTTCATCTTGTTTTTTCTTTCTTCCTCTCTCAGTGGAAGCAGTGGATGCATATCTTGAAGTTGAATGGAGTGAAAAGACAAAAGTAACCTTAGTTTTCTTAAATCTGTCAAAGGTAAAGGTATTTGTAGCTTTTTCAGAAGCAAAGACCTGTCTCTGACTCTTCCAACCTTACCCTTCTTTTCAGGAAAAAGAGACACTCTGCCATGGGATTAGAAACTACCCCTCCAACTCTTTTTTTCCAATTTATTCTCCAAATTTAAATTTAAATTTCGTCACGACGGTTGAATTTCCAACATGTGCATGTGTCGAAATTTCAAAACAACTTCATAAACTACAAAATTAATTTGAAAGAGATAGCACTGCATGTTATCATTTCTTTTTCCAGATTGGATTATTTAAAAAAGAGACATGTGAACTTCAAATCACCAAATAACATTCATGGTTTTGCTTTTCTCAACTTTTATGTTTTAAGATTTTGAAAAATATAATTTTACACGTATAATTTTTTTTACATTTATTTAATATTTTTTTCAAAAAAATACAAAAATTTAAATTTTTATGATATTTTATATTTATACTTATGTCAAATAAATAAGTGTCTCTTAATTTTACTTAATCATTTTTTCTCGTATCTTCTGTATATATTAATTTCTTTTTAAAAATTCGCCTTTTAAATATGTTTATTCAATTTTGTAAGTAATAACTATTGTGTTATAGATTCATTAATACAAAACGACAATAAAAATGTTATTGTATGTAAGTTGGAATAAATAAAACTTATCACACTTATATCAATAAATTGAAATAAATAAATTTGACTGTAATGTTGGTTTGGATAAGATGAAGGGATAAAAATAGAGAAAATAGGATGAAATGGATAAAAGAAATTAAATTTAAAAGATATTATAAATATTTAACTTGACTAAAAACATATTTTAATATTTATAAATTTTAGGTTTTTTTAATTTTATTTTTTATGATATATTTATTATAGATATAATAATAAAATATATAAAGTTTAATTTATTATAAAAACTAATTATTATATAATTATGTTGTGCCAATATTTTATTAAAAAGTTGTGATGGGTTCTAATATATAATCCTAAGAAAAAGGACACGAAGGATATGCAGTAAAATAAATTTTATAAAAAAGTTAATTTTGTATGTATTTTGAAAAACTAGAATACTGACCTTAGTCGTACTAGAAAATTTATAATAGTTTCATGTGATTTGAATATGATTATTTTTCAATTGAAATTTTCATGGTTTGTGTAGAAAATAAATGAATAAAATTTCAACTATATTGTCAAATAGAGTAAGATAATGTATGTATTTGCGTATAAAGACTTTTTATTGACTAAGAAAATGATACATTATGTTCATTCTCTACATTTTTTTTTTTAAACATTGGATAAAAATATTGACTTTTTTGCAAAGACTAACTAATAAATTAGGTTGAATTTTATAAATTGGAAGTGTAAGAGTTGAAATTATTATAAATTGAAAGTTGAAGGCAAAAGGCTTGTAAGTTAAGCCATGTTTAGATTTTTCTTATTTAAATATAATATAAGAAAAATTATAATTTTTTATTCTGTGTTCTTAAATTAAAATTTCATGTCATAAATAATATAAACGCAATTGATTAAAGTAAAGAAAAATATCTAATGGCCAATAGATATTCAAAATGTTTGAAAGCTGACTTTGATAATCAAGGAAATCACTTCAAATGAGAGTAATATGAACATTAAAGAAAAAAGACCTTACTTTTGTAATCGAAGAAAAAAAAAGGAAAGGCCTTACTGTGTTCTTTATTGATAAACTGAGAAATGACAAAATCTCATGTAAAACAATAAACTATATCATCCCAAATATTGATCATTTTAGAGTTTCAATTTAAATTATTTTAAAATTTGATTTCTAATTGATAAGAAATTATTAAGTCGAATAAAAACATGAGTTTTGATAATTTGTCTTATGATCTTGTTATTGATATTATAGTGAACATCAATTTTCATCGTGACTTTATTTTTAAAAGACTTCTGAAAAAGTTAAAAGAATATTTAAATTATATTTAACTTCAATTTCTATAAACTATTGAATGTGATGAGATGATATAGTAATAAAAGTTTTAGTTAAATATTATATAGAAATATATAGGTAACTCAAAGCAAAATAAATGAAGCCTACACATTTTTTAATTTAACTCAATTTTAGAAATTAATTTGTAAAATAAAATTTATAATTAGTTATATATTATAAATTCGTTATATCTTTATTCAATTACAATAGCAAAGATAGTAAATAGAAGCACTTATAAAGAGTTTGTTGGTGAAGATAGACAGCATGAAGGGATCACATAAGGTGAAATGAAAGGGTTCTTTTATATATATATATATATATATATATATAGGGATGACAACGGGTCGGGTCGGACACAGACAGTGCCTACCCGTAGCTCGATCCGACAAAAAAAAAATCCACTTGCTACCTGTACGGATACTCGTTTAAAAAATATCCGCAGATACTTTAAAACCCGCGAAAATATTTTAAAAAAATACATTTTAATAAATTATTAAAATAATTTAAATAGAATTACAAAAAATATATAAAATATAATATAAATTAAATTTAAATTTAAATTTAATTTTAATTAAATTTAATCTTGTAAAATATAAATTAATGTTAATTTTAATTAAATTTAACATAATAAAATATAAATTAAATTTTTATTTTTATTTTTTGCGGTTAGCGGGTATTCGTGAGTACGGATAATATAATATTCACATTCAACCTGTTTATAAGCGGGTATTAAAATATCCGCTACCCGCAGATTGCGGGTAATAAATATCCGCGAGTATCAATTATTCGTCGCGGATTTTATTCGCGAATATTCTTGGGCACGGATTTTTTTGCTATCCCTATATAATGTCTAAGTTTGTAGGATGGTAGTTTGTGATTTAAGGTAGTGTGGTGGAGTTTGGTAGAGATGCAGAGCTGATATTTTATTGCGTGGTGGTGTTTAGCATTGAGCTAAGATAAGCAATGTCATTTTTACAAACATGTGGTGGTCTCAAAAAGTGGGTGGGAATCTGACTTCGTGGTGGTTATGAATACGCAATCACTTCTGTCTAATTAGTTTTTATGAATTTAGGTTAACTTAAATTTTGAAGCACTATCATAATGATTTTGAATATTATATAACTGAGAGACTCACTTATAAATATTAACACAGTGATAAACTTATACAATTCTGAAGATAAAGCCAAACAGAGAATATTTGAGTTTTGGATGCAACAACGGATGAATAACCTTAGAAAGTGATGGTCATGTTTTTGGACATAATCCAAAACATAGAGAATCACACGAATGTTTTTGGAGAATACGACGTTGCAAAATTATCTGACAACTCACACCGTGAGATACGAATTCAAACTTTTTATATTTTTAATTATAAATTTTAAAACAATAAATTTAGACATTTTAATTTTATATATTTTATATAATTTTTTAATTTTATTTAATGTTTTAAATTCAAACTTATTTATATATTAAATTTAAGGAAATGATACTTTGACAACTTTTTGTATAACATTCTACCATCATCTGTGTGTGGAATAATTTTGAACCAATAATATAATGACACGTAGGTTACGTTAAAATGTCGTTAAACATCGTGAAAGAATATTATCCTAAACTTAATGTCTTGTTGAAATAGACATTACTACCGCCAACACACTTTCCTTACTTACCTTCTGCCTGTGCCAACCATCGCCGTCTTCATCATGGTGTCGCATTCAGATATTAGCTGCAACTTCAACCATCAATTTCAAAATTTAAAATCCTATTAAATTTTCTTTTTCTTTGTTATTTAAAAATCACAATATTTTATTATTTTCATCATTTTCTTTGGAGCTAGCTTTAGATTCATCAATCAAGATATCTGTTAACCCTCCAACAGGGCCCAATTTGAATTCCCAGTTTAGGCCCAAAAAACCAAACATTTTTAATATCTTTGATCTTATTATTTATAAAAAGAAATTCAATTGATGTTGACTGGAATTGTTTTCAGTTGCACAGTAGTTATTTAGATTGTCATTTTTATACTATATTGATAGTTGAATTTTTTCACTAACTGTTTTTTTTTTTCAATGTTGGCTAACCAATTTCTCTAAATAGCAATCCTAATCAATTTTGGTTGAAGAAAAAAATAATAATCATGATAAACATATGTTGAAAAATGTAATTTACATAAAAAAAAAGTTCATTAAGGAAGCTTTAACTATTGTTGAGTAAGAAATGATAGCGATTGACAATAATAAAAATTCTAACAACTTCAATAATTTTTTATTAATATCAATAAAGAAATATAATCGATATCAACTCAAAAGTAGTCATTCCTATAATATTGTCCAACTCAAACTGATAATACTCTTACTAAAATTGAATTACAAAAAGTAAAACATAAATTTAAAAATATAATAATTAAAATTTTTTATTTTTAATTGTTATTTTAAAATTTCCAGTTTTTAAACATTTTAACTCTAATAAAATCTAAATTTTCAATTTCTTTTATAAAAATCCACAAAAAATCATATTTTATCATAATACATTTCGATTAAACAAAATTACCTTAATAAGATTCTTTATCTGAACATACTATTGAAAATTTCTAAAAGGTTCTTAATAAATTTACTCAAAAATTCCTACTAAATATACTAAAAGTTTCTTATTTTTGAAGCTATGTGCGAGTACACTTAATATTTATAAGGAAAATGAATTACTAATTTGCATAGTATATAAATAGATTTTCCATCCATGAATGAATTATAATTCTTTATTATTTTTTTCTTATTATAAAATGAGAGAATTTCTTCTTTAATATAAATTTTAAGAGAACTAAATAAAATTCATTCTACATATTATATTATTTTAAAATGTGAAATATTGATAATATATCATAGACATGGTTGAAAATGGCCAATTCGTCATCTGCTCCAAAGATAAAGTGTCATTATTTAAAAAACAAATTATTATTTTAAAAAAGAAATCAATTGAAATGACTG